GACACATGCCTGGCTTTAGGAAGCAGTCGAGCTTCATGACAACAGAGTAGGACCATTATCTAAGTGACCTGAAAGTCTCTTTCTATCCAGTAGCCACTCCCTCCCTCTAATTCCACCTGCTCTCACAGAAGATGAGGCACCTATGTCAACCAAGTAATGTAAAACCATCAGCTCAGACAGAGGATCTGAGGCCACACACACCTTTAATCCTATGGGAAACTCCTTTGTCAAGCCAGTGTTGATGTTCTCACTGAGGAGTGGCTCGCTTGTCACTTGTCTCCATGTCATATTGGGCCTGACTTTCCACCCTCCCACTAGGCAGAGTCTCATGGCTCCAGGGCCTCAGCAATGGCAGTCGGGTGTTGATTGAAATGGAGATGTTGAACTGGGAATTTTTCCCTGATGCTCTTCAGTGGCATTAGAAAGAGGTCTTGCTGTTGATCTCACAGAAGCCCTGCCTGAGGAGATTTTCCTCTAATTTACCCCATACCAAAATACAAATAGCCATGGAGAATGACAGGCAAGATGATTTGTGAAAATGCAGCTAGCCTTTCACCCGTGTGATAAACTGTAACTGGATGTTACTTTCATGACAAAAAGGAGACCTAGAGGTGACTCACAGTATTATACTCAAAGCAGCAAAGGGGAGGAACTCAACCCACAAACTCAAGACTGTGTGTGACATACAGCCACAGAGGCTGCCACCACAGTGGTCCCAATGGAGTTTGAGTGTAAGGTAGGTCTTTGTCTTTCTTGTTCTGCTGGTTAGCAGTATCTGCTGTAATACAATGCATATTTTATTTTAAATGTGTACCATGCACAATCCGTTATATCCCTGTAATAATTTAACAAGAATCCTGAGATTATTCATCTTTTAAATGATTTTGTATATAACCAAATTACCGGAAGAATTGCATCTTACTTTTAAAAGTTTCATATAAGTGTTGCTACTTTCTAATGGTGAAGTATCAGCATTTGCACACATAGATAGCTGATGATCGATTGATTATAGATAGATAGATAGATAGACAGATTGATAGATAGATAGATAGATAGATAGTAGATATATAAACAGATGATAGATGGTAGAAATATGACTAGTAGTTTAGATAGATGCTGGTAGATACATAGATATTGTTGATAGGTAGATATGATAGTAGATAGATGAAAGGATAGAAAGACAGATAGATAGATAGATACTACTATTAATACTAACCCTTTTCTACTTCATCTAGTGTCCCTGTGTGTGTGTGCCTGATTTTCTTTTCTTTCCTTCCCTTCCCTTCCCTTCCCTTCCGTTCTCTTTTCTTTTCTTTTCTTTTCTTTTCTTTTCTTTTCTTTTCTTTTCTTTTCTTTTCTTTTCTCTCTGGCTCATGATCTGTTAATGAGCCTCTCACCTAGCCCTGAGTCAAAGAGAAAAGAAACCAAGTAACTAAGTTTTCTGGATTCCCTTGCTGCTATCAGCAGGGGTTAATTGCCAGAAGCCATCAGGTTTTGCACCCTCTTCTGCCCCATGAAACCCTCGCTGCCTTCCCCAGTACCTGTATGCTGATCTGTACCTCGGCAGACAGATGGATGATAGCTAGTAGAAAGATAGTCATATAGATGGATAGATGAAAATGTGGAAGTTGGTACCCATCCATGCATATCCTGGATATCCACGCATATGCATAATGACAGAGGTCTAGGTAGACAACTTATTTATAATTTCTCTGTGTGTCTTGCCACAAAATGCCTTCAGCAGTAGACTACTCAATGCCCTTGCCCTTAGTCCCTGCCTGTCCTCCTCTGAAGCACTGGTGTTCCAGGATGATGCTAGCTCTCTACAGCTTCTTAGTCTTCTTTCTTAGAGACTATCTTTTTCTAATACTTAATTACTTAAAACAGTTTGGGGAACATGAGACAGAAAAGAGAAGTCTTTGCAGGAGCAGGAAGGGGAACACATAGAGGAAACTTGTATACCCTCAGTCTGTGAGCCTGGGTTACCAGCGGACCACTAGAGAAGGGTTTGAGTCCATGTCCTCCTCTGGGGAAGCTTCAGAAGCTTAGGATATTCACAAGCCCCCTATCCAAGATTGCATAAAGAGTAATAGTTACACAGAGAGGAGACGTTTCAACAGCACTGCATGCAGTTACTCAGGAAGCCCCAGAGATTTGGTTCTCATGAGTTATCACCCATGCTGCTGTGAGATTTCAGACATGCAGCCTCCTTTAAGTCACTTCTGTCTCTGTAAGAAACCCCTCACCTGTACTCTCACAAGTAACCCTAATAAACTTGCTGGGTCATTAGGCCATCCCTGGGTGAAAATTCTGCCTTGAATGTCCTATTTGGGGTGAACAGATATTTGTTAGTGTTGTCCCAGGGAAAAATTCACACAAGTCCCTCAAAAATCTTAGTATATTCTCAGTGAATGAGTGGTATACAGTGGAAGGGTCAGCACAGAAACTGTGGGGAATCCTCTATGATGGTTCTGTCTAAAGTCACTCCAACTGTCTTAGGGTATCTCTGTCGCTTGTTCAAGGCAATTTTTAAGGTGGATGATGGGAGTAGAGTGTCCTGTATATGCTATGTCATGCTTAATGAAGATTATGGAAAGATCCACAAGGAAATCCAAATAGTATATGCCTCTGATGGCATTCTCTGGTCAATCAGGAAGGTGAGGATGTGGGAGGGGGATTTTCTCAACTCCATCTGATGGGGTTCCATGTTTTATAATAAGATGAAAAGAAGAAGGTGCAGGAGATGTGCCCCAAATTAAAAATAGGGATGTAAGTAACACCAGTGTTTACTTTGTTGAGCTCTTAAGGTCACTTGAGTTTTAAAGCAAACCTATCAAGCAGATGTTGCTGCTAGGATCTCTCCACCTTGTTATTGAAAGGGCTGTACGGGAGCTGAAATAACTTCCTCTAAGTCACACTGCTAAGGGGCAGAACTAGTGCTCAGCAGGACATAGCTTAGAGCCTGTGCCCTTCTCTCTGAGTCAGCTAAAGCCATACAGAATCAACACCTGGAAAATTGACTCCTACCTGAATATCAGTGGTGTGTGATTTCTGATAACTCATAAGCGACTGAGCGACAAAGTGAGTGCCTTGTATAGTATCTTCAGTTGTCAGCTTAGCATAACATCCTAGAATACTTGTTTCGTGGGCCTGTGAGATAGCTCAGAGGGTGGAGGTGACTGTAACCAAGACTGAGTACCATCCCTAGAACCTACATGGCTGGATGAGGGCAACACGTTCAAGACATCTTCTGACCTTCACACATGTCCTGTGGCATGTGAGTATACTCAAGCATGTGCACATGCGCACACACACACACACACACACACACACACACACACACACACATGCACACACATACACACACACACCATAGAGAGAGACCAAATAAATAAATGTACTATAAAAAAGTCCGTTTCTCTAAAAAAAAAACCAAAAAAACCAAATCTTTTCTATATTTGCTCAAGCTTTTACATTATCAAAACCATATAGTTTTTTAAACTTTTGGAGTCCTTTATTTATCAAAGGATAACACATTGTAATGAAGAGTTGAGTTCTTGAAGACTGTCTCTCTTGTTGCCATGGCATCTCAAGTGGTAGGTATCAACAGACTCTTGATCTTGTTAACAGGTGGTGGGTGGTGGGAGCTAAAGGTGATGACAAGTAACATTGCTGAACATAAGGATATTCCAAGTTAATTTGCGGATACTGGGATCCTAACAGTCAGAGGTGGACCCTCTAGGTTCCCCTCTGCTTTTTGAGGTCAGCCTCGTGAACCTGTCTTCAAACTTAAGGGGCAAGTCTTCTGCAGCCATTCCTGGTGAGAAACATCTGGTATCTCCCTGATGGTTGTAGGCTCCATCCAAGGCTGCATATTATACCTCAGCTGTGCATTCTCGAGTAAGTATACACTGGTGTAGGTGATCCTTTAAGGTCATATGCAGAAATTGAAAGGGAAGCAGTCTGCAATTTTCTCTGAAACTAAGGGATACCCTATGAATGGGATGGGAATTGTAGGGTTGTTTTTTTTTTTTTAATGAAAAAGAGTCATTACATCCTCAGCTTGTCCCATGATTCCTGCCAGGAAACTATATTTCATACTTTATAGCTAAGGATGCCACATCAGGACATTCCTCTCACAGGACATGTTCACCTTCTGACTACCTCCACTCACTTGGAAAGAATGGAGATTTTTTCAATACATGTTTACTAACGTGAACTTGTAATATGTATCTTGGGGTTGTGCTTCTTGCCTGGGATCTTTTTGTATTATATGCTTCTGTATCTTCATCTATGCAACTTCTCCATACATGTTTCGAACTTGGAACTGGTCTTAAAACATGTGTTTGAAAATAAGAGGACACTGCAAGCATCCACACTTCTATGGTGCCAGATGTCTTAAACAGGCAAGTGGAGAATCTGCAACAGGAGCAGGATGATGAGTGCCTACAGGTTAAGAGTCAAATGGTCAGAAGCTACAGGGTCAGCCACCCCTCTGCCAGGAGACAGCCACATGTGGGTAGGGTTCAGGAGCCATTAGCAACACTGCGAGTTGTCTAGAACACCAGAGCACTAGCACCTTTCATTATCAATGAAAATCACAGCCATTTCATCTTAAACACATGTGTTGGCTCAACATGTCCTAAAAGAAGTAAATAATGGCAAAACAAATACAGCAACCATTTTACTTTCAACTTTGAAATATCAGAAAGAGTAAGGAAAGGTTTCAGAAATAATGATCACTGTGATGTTGCCAAGAGATCACCAGGCCTCCCATATTCCTTCGCTGAAGTTTGTATTTCCTGCTGTTTTGACATAATGGCATGCCATGTCCCAGAGATAGGCCATTCAGGTAGAACTCTGAAGCAGTTACAGAGCACTAATCTCATCTTGAAGGGTGTTCCGACCTGCTTGTTTCATTGATCTCTGCCATGTATAGAACAGTCTCTGTCTACTTTAAAATCTTCCAGTGAATCATTACTAAGGTGATTCAGGCCTACCTTGGTACACAGCTTTAAACCCTGGTGAGCCAATACTGTCATCTGACTGCAGGTGGAGCCACATCTGATTGCTCATGCTCACGATGAGATCAGGAACACTGGAGCCTGTGAGCCTGCGCAGAAGGGAAAAGGTCAGACTTTTACAAAGGGCTACAAATACATCAACTTTTCCTCAGAGCAGAGCCTTACTGCTTGAACAATCAAACCACATACACACACACACACAGACACACAGACACACACAGACACACACATACACAGACACACACACACACACATATGCACACACACACACACACACACATACACCACGCACTTAAACAGTTTGTCATTTATGAGTGTTAAAATACTATCATCACTGGCATTTTAGTAGATATTAAATCACTGTAAAATATGTTTTCTTCATTAAAAAATAGCCTGAAAGGATTAGAGCTATTGCTTGGTGAGTAAAAGAGCGGTTATTGTTCTTTCATAGGACCCATGTTCAATTTCCAGTACCCAAATGGTGTTTCACGACCATCTGTTACTCCAATTCCACAGGATCTGATGGCTTGTTCTGGCCTCCAGTGGCAAGACACATGTATGGTATACACATAAAATAAAGTTCTTTTTAAAAAATATCCATCCCATTTGCTGGAAATGAGAGGCTCCCTAAGTACAAGATGCATAGGTATTAATCCATCCAAACTTGAAGAAACAGAGAGAGCCAGCTGTGCTATGTATCAGAAGATGAACCCTTTGGCTCACTAGTTTATTGTGTGATACCATCAAAGGCAAACATCTCTAAGGTGAGAAAATGCTTTACATTCATTATTCCATTTAGTCATCTAGTCTAGAATTACGTACCTTCCATACAAAGTCTCTTTAAAGATGTATTAAAGGGTAATCACGCATTATAATGATATTGAAAAGAACAGTGTGTGTGGTTGAAATAGACACGACAGAATTTACTGAACATCCAGGTCAAACTTCAAAGCAGTTTCCTCTAAGCGTTCAGGATGCATTGACAAACTGGTCACATCCCCTGCGCTGTCAGCCGGTGAAAAGAAACACCAAAGCCATTGACTGAACTCAACATGCCGACAGAATAGCATGTAGAAACAGGAAAAGTGCAGGAAGAAAATCAATTCAACCAAAACAAATGTCCCTAATCAAATGGGAAGCTTTGCTTTCGGCAAAGTGGTTTCAGGAATGTGAACACATGGTTTGCACCATCAATCACAGCATCCGTCTATCAACCCAACATTCTCACGGCAGACGGCCTCGAAAACCTGCGTCTTCAAAGGAAGATGAACGGCGGTCATTACATGCCGAGTAGCTCTGGCTGTGTTACACTCAGGTTGGAAAAAAAGAGCGTGTTCGGGTGAGCGATGTATGCTTGCTGCACACGTATGCCTGAAGATTTGTCTTTGTTAGAAGATTGTTCTTTTGTGTTTGCTTGTTTGATTGCAAGAGAGATTTGTTTGCTTTCCTGTGCATGCATTTTGTTGAACTGTAATCAGCCAAACAGTGCATGGATTACAGATCCCAGCTCTAAGACTCCTTAGAAAGAGAGCCAGCCTACAAGTTCCCCAAGGGAGTCTGCCTCCTGGGCCCCTATCTGCTCCTGGTTCTCCCTCTTGCTTTGCTAACACATCTACAGCTGCATCTGCCTTTCTAAGCCTCCTGTAAGTGAAATAAGATTTTGTAAAATACTTTGCTTAACAGACCTGAGGGAAAGATACTCATGAGCTTCCTCGCTGTAATTCTACTTAGAATTCATTTGTATATATATACAAGGAAAAGGTGATTAATGCTAGTGTTTTTAATTTTTTTCCTAAGTAATATATTAATAAAGGTGTCAGAAATAACATAAAGAGCCCACATGCATTCTTTTCCATCTCTCCCAATGCTCATATTTTACAGATCTATAATGTACCATCTCAGCCTGGATGGATGACCTACCTCTTATGAAAGTGCTCTGTCTCTATCCCTCCCTCCCTCCCTCCCTCCCTCCCCCCCTCCCTCCCTCCCTCCCTTCCTCACTCCATACCTTCTTCTTTCCCCTTCTCTCCTCCCCTCTCTCTATGTGTTTAACTGTCTACTATTCACACATAGCCTTCGGAACCCAGGCTGTAGTAAACACAGTGAGATTCCCCACAGTTCGTCTTCAGAGCCTCACAAAGTTTCATCACACTGTATTGCTGCTCCTCACTGGAAAGCACAAGTCTGTCTCTAGGTCTAAATTCAGTCATTATGCTATTACATAAAGGAGAGACCACAGTTTGTCTGTTTTTGAATTGGCTTTCTACACTTGGCTCAATTCCCCAGAGATTGATCACATGATTTATATACCAACAGTCTCTCCCTTCTCATTGCTGAGGGAGACTCCATGGTGTGGGTACATTATGTCCTGCTGACATGCTCAGCTGCTTGACAGCAGACCCATAAAGCTGAGGTAACTCTGATGTGCAGGTTTTCTCACAGTGTAACTAGTCTTCATGTGATCTTCATGTGAATTTCCAAGGATGCAATTTGTATTTTCTGATTTCTGTGTCTGTAATTGCAATTTCTGTCTTCAAGATTACAGAGTGAGCATTCTCTTTGTCTTCCCACCAGCAGTGTCTGAGGACTCAGGTTCTAGGTTTCACCAATGGGGATTTTGTGTGGCCAGTATGTATTTCAGATCCTCTGCAATTCATACAGTGATCTCTCGAGGGCTTTGCATTTACCTGTGGCTGATCACTAATAGTGCACAAGGCTTTGTCTGTTTCCTATACACCTGTTTCAGGAAAGTTCTTCAGGTCCTGTGCATACTTATTGATATTCTCTCTCTCTCTCTCTCTCTCTCTCTCTCTCTCTCTCTCTGTCTCCCTAAAGATTTTTACTGAGCAACGGATTTCTGTTTGACCAAATTAGAAATTGTCCCTAGAGGAGAAGGATACTTCTCATACACTTCCTGTCCTGTTGGTCCTTGAAAACTCACACCTGCCTCAAGTTTCCTGTTGTGCTTCATGGGGTCTTTGGACAAATCATCGTATATCTACAGCTATTCTCAACCAGAGTCAAGGCTGTTGTGTTTGGGGGACTGGTGGCTTTAGATACTCATCTTCCACTCGCTTAGTTTATTTTCATTTTCTTCCTGCTCTCATTCCTTGTGTGGTCATTCCCAAGATTATGATTCTGTGGCAGGAAGATCGTATCTAATTTTAAAGGCATTGCTTTGTGTATGAGCAGAAAGAAGAAAGATAGTGTGTTGCTGTTGTATCCTGAAGCTTGCACGAACAGCCAGAGTTCACACAGTGACCACACATGGTTGATCAGAGCTGGCACTCAAATCACTCTTCAGTGCATGGAGAGCCTGATTTTCTGGTCTGTGTCCATAGCAGTTCTTTGCTGACATCAAACCTCTTTACCTTTGAGATCACTATATGTTAACCTGCCTTCAGTTACTATGTCTCTTCCATGGGAAATCTGAGTTTCCATATGGGTATTATATGATATAAGATGTCTCATGTCCCGATGATTTTATCAACACAACAGTGACTCTCTCCCATGCCTCAGGAGATCTTGGCCTTTTGTGCTTTCTGCCCAGGCTTTGTTTATGTTCTCAGTGAGAGTTAACAGTGATGTTTTGGAGGCAGTGAAGCAATTGCTCTACCTTGTACCCAGCTTGCTATTTTACAAGGGAGACCTGAGCTCTGAGCACACACAAAACTGTTCACTTCGCTCTCCATTGAACTGACTCCCCAACTTCCTAGAGACAATTGCTGCTGGGTGCCCATTGAATTGACTCCCCAACCTCCTAGAGACAATTGCTGCTGGGTGTCTTGTGTTTTGCCAGTTTTCTGAATTTCCCTTGCTAGCAGGAGGCTTCTAGTTGAGGAGGGCAAGGCCATGGTGGACTTCTGACAGTGTTGACCCTCTGCCTCCCACACACTACCTCCCCTCCATGGCTATGGCTTGGCTTGAACATAGGCCACCTCTTAGCAGCCCACTGGGGTCTCTCCAGACTTGAACCCTTCTCTGGCTACTTCCTTCCCAGGAATATACGTTGTTAAAAACATAATTATCGTGTAGAAAATGCTCACCTATTGCAAAGAGGAACACTTCCAAGGTAACTCCCTACCCCAGGCACACCCTGAGGTGCAGGTTTGAACTTCTTTTATTTACTCACTGTGCTTTATTTTAATCCTGTCTTGCTCTCTGAATTCACTCAAAATTGACTAGGCCAGCATAAAGGCAGTACTTGCTCACGAGGTTCGCTCAATCAAATGTCAAATCCTGTTCCTGTAGCCAGTCCCATTTTAGACTTTATTTTAAGTCTCTAAATTATTTGATTGGCATTCATACAAGAAGGGTTGTAATCATACTTTGTCACAATTAATTCTTTTTAAACTAATTAGTTGAATGTTAATTAACTTTTAAAACTTGTTGAAAATTTCAAAACTATAGAGTTGTCAACGTTTCCAAGTTTAAAGTATTTAAAAGTTTATAACAAAAGAAAATGTTGACTTT